CTGGAGGAGCTGCAAGGGCCTTTCCAATCCAGACGATTCTGAGATTTTGTGATTCAGATGCAGCAACCTGCCTTGGCTCTGCCTCTGCTCCCAGTCCTGTCCTACCCCTGAACTTCGGTCCATTGAGAGGTACCAGGACGATGCAACCAAGATAAGAGTGACCATCTGCCTAAGGGTTACGCTCCTGCCCACCTTTAAACCATTATTAAAACCAGCAATTCCTTCTGTCATTCAGTCTTTCTCAAGGAATCTTACCATCATCCATTCTATTAATTTTTCCAAACTTCCCCACCCTTCCTTCCACCAGCCTTCACTCTAGACTTCTGAAGACTAAGCAAAGAAAATATAGATCACCAGAAAACTCCTAAATAGAAATGACAGTATGTAGAATTGTTTCCTAAAATTATTTATGAATCTTTGTTGTCTGGGCTAAATGCACCGAATCAAGCAATACTCCGAATATTTGACACTAGGGACCAGTATAGCTTTGGCTGGCGTATTTGACTTCTGTTGGATTTGGATTCCCCTCCCCACAAATGGGAAGAGATAATTAGATACAATGTGCAGTGTAAGCCAGTGTAATCAGAAATCTTTTTTGCATGTGTTTTAGTAGGATTCTGCCCACCAAACATATTTTACATGTGGAAGAAAATACAAAATGTGTAAATTGCCCTAAGTCTGTAGCCTTAGATATATTTTCTGCGGGCAATGAAAGAAGGTGGAAACTTCCCTCTTTTATTTTAGTTATATTCAGACATTTCATTGATAAGTCTGTTTTCCCTCTAAGAAAATTATTTCCTTTGTACTTAATACATTTACTTCTTCTCTCAGGCTTCAAGGGGAAAAGAGTGCTAGTACCATCCCCTTGGCACTGAGCTGCGCTGTGACACCCAGCATGGGAACTCTGATGGACACACACACATCACAGCCTGCTGCATCCTCTGTGAGTTTCCAGGAGTCATTTTGGCGTCTGACCTCTGTTTTGGATGCTTGATGGGGAGGGTGGGAGGGGACACTCAGTGACACAAAGGCATTAGTTGTATTAGGCAGCTCTTTTTGCTTTTTGCTCTGACTGCAGTCATGGCATCACAGGTCTCACAGACCTTGTTTCTGAATCAGCCTCACCTGCTTTTATTAACCCAACAAAAATTTTATTGGCAAGAACTGAACGGTGGCCATTGATCTTTCTCTCTTTCTCAAGAGCTGGTAAGAGAAACAATCAGAGAATGTTGACAAATCCTTAAAATCCTTGGACGGAAGACTTGAAGGAAGGCTTATGTGTTGATACTGGTGGTACTGCGACAGTCTCATCACAAGAACAGGAAAACGAGCAGTATCAGGGCTTTGTCATGCCTCTTGCCCGGTATTCAACTCGGGGTTAGGGTTATGTTCAGACTGGCCAGGAGAGGGCAATGCCACCAACGAAACTGCCATCCTACATGTTTGTTTTGAAGGTCACTCCCAGGAGGAACAGTTGATGTGGTCATCCCTATTGCCCGCTGCCCTTCATTTTGGAATAATCTTCAGGGAGAATTAGGAAGCATTAGTTTTAATGAGAGGCTGTTTTGTATCTTGCAGAGATAACATTCAAAGGCATCTATTATGATGTTATAAGACTGAAAGTATGATTCCTGCTACAAGAAGCTTGAAATTTCAGAGTGAAACACAAAGACGTGAGAACTAGAGTTTAATTTTTAAATAGTATTTTCAGCACACACATACCCCAACATGCATTTGTGTTACCACAATAAACAGAAGAATGGCTCAGCATGCTCTGCCTCTCAGTCTAGCCATCAGAAAAGGCCCAGTTTCTATTCTCTGACATTCATATTGTCATAGTGAGTTTCAAAGATAAGAAACCCCATGTGGAGCAAATCTTTGATGACAAAATCTATGATGGAAAACATACTGTGAGCAGGCCTGTACCCGAAACTGGCATGTATAATGAGAACGCTGCCTTTCCTTGTGTTCTAGTAGGTAGAAGCTCTGTTAGCAGGGATATGGGACTGAAAGTCACCACCTAAATTTCAGACTTCTGACCCAGCTTTTCTTGGCTGATCTGAAAAGGCAGGCAGGGTAAGGGCTTCTGGCTTGAATAGTCTCTCCAATCCAAACCAACTTCATCACTGTTTTCTCAATATGTTCGTAAGCAAAATGTATGTCTGCATTTCTCAGGGATGGCACTCCTGTACTATGGGTGACACGTCTGGATTTAGGTCCTCTGATTTGTGCAGGATATCAGGTGTATAACGAGAAGGGGCGAGAAAAATGCTTATTGGTACGAATAACTACATGGGGTTTTTTGTCATTTGTGGTATTTGGGTGGCCGAGGAGAAATTGCCCTTCTCTAGGCCACATTTGACTATTGTATCTGTTACACATCTACAGATCCATCACTGTGTTTCCGAAAGGAAAACCGGGACTCTGTGTGTGGTTTACATGCAAAGCAGCTGCTCCATCCATGTGGCTGACAGCCCCTCACTATCAGGCTGTGTGATACGTCCTGCTCTGCCGTGCCATGGCAGCACCTGGGACCGAAGGATTGATGTGACCACTAAGCTGTCACTGGGGTGGTGCCACAGGGAGCTTATACAGGGACCCTGAAACTGGTGTGAGTTTAGGTGATCAAACAGCCGTGTCCCATTTCTGAACAAAGCCAGTCCGCATCCCTGACAAGCTAGATATGCCTGCCAAGACTTAACATACACACTCTATGGATAAATGCAGCTTGCACTGCAAGCAGTGACTTAATAGCAGACTCTATATCCTGCTGTTGCCCAAATGTGTTGTAGTTCTTACAGGTGGAGCACAAGTGTTAAAAGTGCTCCGTTGTTCCCTATCACTAATGCAACAGGATACCGACTAAATGCCACTAAAGTGGACCATGATAAACAAACTGGTGTTCTCTGTGTATCATCAGGATTTCAACAGTGTATTTTACATTTCAGTCATTTTTGTGCTTTGCATTTTTATGCTGTTTGAACAGATGAACTCTTTATTCTTATTTTTACTTTTTTAATCCTGTACATTTGGGTTATGTCTTCAGTCTGTGGCTAGGAACTGCCTGCCTTTGGCTTCTCTGCTCCTCAAAGGACAAGGATTAATATCTAGAGCTTGCAGGGATTATGAGCATAAAATACTTAATCTGCTATCAAATCCATCAAACAAATTATAAAAACAATCAGAGAACACCTAACAGCCATCTGTAACCTCTCTGTGCGTTGATTTTACTTCAGTACACCTGGAGTTAATTTTTTTTTTTGTTCCAGAAACTGAAGTGGTATAGGGAAGGGGTGACCTCAGCATCATTATCTGTTAATATTAGAAGTCTTCTATGAATGTATGTTTACTATGTAGCACTGAAAAACAGATAATAATATGACCTTTTCTCTGACATTGTCAAGGATAGCATTATAAAGTCCACAGAAAAGGCTCACAGTGTGTTTTGTACTTGTTGGGGTTTATTTTTTACAAAAATTAGGTCACCTTCTGTCTGATGGGGAAGCCACTTAGTTTTTCTGTGAAATTTTAT